GCATGTCTGAAGACCAAATTCATTTTTAATTTGTTAACTATCTGATAGTACATCAGAATCAGTCAGCTTGGAGTTGCACAAAAGTACTATATGGTAAACATTGCCTCTTTCAATTAAAAAGAAATGAATTAATTAGCCTCATACACATGTTATTTTCCCTTTCACTTACATATATAGAGTAATATATAGGTGTCCAAAAAATACCCCAGATTCTATGTTGACATTCATGAAGAATGGCAGGTCTAGTTTTTTCAAAAACAAACATGTTTTCGATAAAATTGAGTTTAAAAGTTACTTCAGGGTGAGAAATTCAAATCTGCTGCTACAACACTGGTGCATCTTCTGCCAAAGGGGCTGAGTGAAGCATCGTTCGTTTCCTTTTTTGGTGAAACTGTCGAGTGAGGTAAATCCTTTGTAGCGCACTAGTGTATTTTAATGGCACCAAATGTTGTAAGTGTACTGTTCATTTAGGCTGTTAAATCTACTAAAATTCATTTTTGCTGTTTGTTATAACCACAGTATTCAGCAGCAGAATAATAAAGGCTGGATACGTGTCAAGCCTTATGGAAATTAAACAAAATTCCTAGAATGATCAAATTATTTTTTGGGATATCTCTAGAGGAAACTAATGTCCACTGCTTTAGAGTCACATACAATAAATGAGAATTCCCTGCAGTTTCTTTCAATAATGACACAACACATACTAGCGGAATTACATAGCCCAAATGTTAAGTCATTAATTATATTATATAATAATATTGAGTTGATCATTTCTTGCCTCGCTGTTTGAACTAATTTTTCACTAGTTTCATTTTGTGAAGACACAAGCCAACAATTGCATTGATGAATAACTGCAGTTAATATCTGTGTGCACAGACAATCAATCCTTTATTTACAGTGAAAAATGGCATTTGGAACAAAAAAGACACACATTTAATGTACATAGCCACTACCTGTAAGAGAAGCAACCAGACATAGAAATATTCCCAACCCACCATCAATTTCATCCAGAAATCATTTTATGAATTCTCAAAGCTTCAGGCAAGTAGTACGTATTTACATTGCCTACAGAACAGGAAAACAAAGGCCAGAATACACATTTATTAGTGAGAACTATGTAGAGTACTGGAGGTCATTGATATGACATGGATATTCCATGAAGAATCATGTAGCGTGTGTTGCACAAACAGTCCCTATCAAAATATATTCCTAGCAGACGTACTAAGTTTACCTCACATAACCTCACAGGATTAGCCCTAAGCAATAATAACATGTTTCCCAAAATATTTTTATTTGAGGTAAACTTCATGGGGAGCAATAGATCTCGAGGAGAAAACCTACATGTTACAATCATTTATCAGGTCATCTAAGCAGACAATCATTAGCTAGAGCTGCCTAAAATGGAACTCTCAGAAGCATCAGTTCAAAATTCAAGCAAATCAATAAACTCAATAAATCCTTTGTGGGCTGCAACACTGCCACAACTCAAACTACAGGTGTCAAAACAGCATGCACTTTCTTGCCTGTATTTTCATGCAAAATTACCTTACAAAACCTACACTAGTCACTTATATGTCTTCCATACTATGCAACAACAAAATTTAAGAAAAAATCAAGTCAATTTTTTGGAAATGTCCCAGTGGCTTCATGTAAAGTACCTACCAAAATTAAAATATTGGTTAAAAATTAAAGGGGCTGCGACACCAGTCAGTTCGATTGGGGAATATCAATTTTGGAGAAAATCAGATGAATGCTTTAACTGCTGATGTTGTTCCCAAACAGACATCGACAGACGTTTACTGTCATTTGATTTTTCAGTATCAAGGACTCTGAAAACATGAATAGTGGGTACACCATGTGAAAGAGGATTACCCCCCTAAATTTAGCAACTGGATTTATTGTTACAAGGACTCTCCAATAATATTTTTCTGACGAAAAGTTTTCTACCGTTTTTGCTCGCAGCATTTCTCTCTAGTCCGTAGGAAGAAAATAAAAATACAAATTTTATGTGATGTCACTCATTTAAAAATTGTTTATAATTATTATTAACAGAACTCCTATGAAACCTTTTAATAATGCTTACCCCTTAATGCACAAGCTTCTAAGAAGGTGGTACCTGTAATTCAACCATCACTCAAAATTTAAAGCAATTGTCTCGAAAATTCATTTTTTGAGTTGTGCCAAAATTGTAGCCCGTAAACGACTTTAACGAACCAATATTTAGCTGCAAAACACTGTTAAAATAAATTATGTCATGATTATACAAAAAGAAAATACAGGGGACACATTTGTGTGTGACTCCCTCAAGCACAGGACACTAGTTCACACTGAAGATTTGCAAAACATAATGCGAGTATTCTAGAAATTTTGTTAATTTCTATAAGACTTGGTTCATATTCTGCATTCATTGATATTCTGCTGAATACTGGGGTTGTAACAAAACAGCAAACAGATTAAATGAAACACAAACAAATGAAGTTTAGTAGATTATAATAGATTAAATGAAAAACACATAAAAAACTGCGCCGTTAAAATACCCCAGTGTGTGTAGCAAGGGATTTACCTCATTTGACAGTTTTACCAAAAAAGGAAAGAAACCATGCTTTTTCTCAACCCCCGTTGGCAGATGCTGCGCCAATGTCCGTGGTGTTGAAGCAGCAGGTTTGAATTTCACGCCCAAAAGTAACTTTTAAACACAATTTCATTGAAGGCATATTTCTTTCAGAAAGACTTGCCATTCTACATGAACATTGTCCTGAGCATTCTGAATAAGGAGTACTTTTTTGTAATGGGAGCTTCTGGACAGCCTGTATATTGTATAGAATAAGTTATGTAACGCTGGGTAGAACTCCAAAAGCTGTCAAATTCACGGCTTGCCTAACTGGCCTTGAAACTTCCTGTTGAGCATTAATTTTCTAGATCAGCCTTTTGACTTCTTGCAGTATTTTATTGACTTCAGTGATATCACACATGCAGTCTTTGATGACCACAGCCAATAGAGTTAGTCTTATCTAATTTGTTGATAATGGGTGAAGAAAATGTTCAGTCGCAAAAGTGAAACACAGCATATTCATTGCCGTTATCTAGCAATGACGAAAAACAAGCGAGAAGCTTCCCATGTATCCTGTGTTGTAGTATCTAATCTGAATGAATGAGATCTTCTATTTTTTTCAGTGGAGTGATTAATATACTTGAGAATTCTGAGTGGCTTACACGCCACAGAAATTCTCAGCTGAATGCAAATCATCCTCAATGATAATTTCAAAATAAAATGAAGGTTTCGAACCAAAAATACGGTTATGTAGACAAAAAACGCACTCTGACTCACTCTCACACCCAGTCCCAGTCCCAGTCTCAGTCTCAGTCTTACACTCTCAGTCTCAGTCTTACACTCTCAGTCTCAGTCTTACACTCACAGTCTCAGTCTCACACTCACAGTCTCACACTCACACTCACAATCTCACACTCACACTCACACTCACACTCACAGTCTCACACTCACAGTCTCACACTCACACACTCACAGTCTCACACTCACACTCTCACACTCACACTCACACTCACAGTCTCACACTCACACTCACAGTCTCACACTCACACTCACAGTCTCACACTCACACTCAGTCTCACACTCACACTCACAGTCTCACACTCACAGTCTCACACTCACAGTCTCAGTCTCACACTCACAGTCTCAGTCTCACACTCACAGTCTCAGTCTCAGTCTCAGTCTCAGTCTCAGTCTCACAGTCTCAGTCTCACAGTCTCAGTCTCACACTCACAGTCTCAGTCTCAGTCTCAGTCTCACACTCACAGTCTCAGTCTCAGTCTCAGTCTCACACTCACAGTCTCAGTCTCACACCCACAGACTCAGTCTCACACTCACAGACTCAGTCTCACACTCACAGACTCAGTCTCACACTCACAGACT